TTTCCCCCCCCCCCCCTTGCTCCCCCCTTCCTTCCTTCATCATTGATTTATTCATTTCCTTTTCTTATATTTTCATTTGCAGTCAGGCATGTATTCTGAAGTGCTGGGTTATATTTAGAAAGTACTGTACCTCTAGAATAAGAAATCTCATTATGCTTATGGGATATTATCCTATTTCAACTTGCTTGTGTATAACTTGTCCTAGACTTGCATAATGCCTGGTATCATGCCATAAGGTTATTTCTTTCAGTGTTTAAATTGTTAGGCATAGTGCTCTCTTTAGTTTCAAATCCTTATTGAATAAAGTACTAATATTTTCTTTATGTCCATCTGCCTCTGCTGTAGCACACCAGAAGCAGACAGCTGTGTGGTAAAGAATGATGTAGAACAGTATCTGGAAAACACTCCTGGGTATTTTCTGCTGCTTCTGGCACCAGAATTTCAAGCTCTGCCAGGTCCTCAGAAGGATGATGTTAATTTGACTTGCTCAGTTTGGGGGTCCTCTTGAGGCCTGAAGTGATATTTGTTCTTCCATATCTCGGATCTGACTTTTTGTAGGGGAATCATGTTGACCAGTGACAATGAATTAGGTGAGGAAAATGTTGTCTCTGTTCTGACTCTGGTGCAAAAAGTTTATTTGTGGGCAGAATAATTCCTGTTACCCATATTGTGCAGCAGAATTTATGCAGCTTTTGCTGTCTTGTCAGGTGTGCGGAGGGAAGACTGCCCAGAGCCAGGGTGGACCAGTGTGGGAGGAAGCCAGTGTGGTGGTTAGCAGTGGGAAAGCTGGAAGGGTAAAGTTGGAAATGTGAAGACTGTGGGTTTTTCCTGCAGAATTCCATGGAAGTATGAGAGAGTCTTTGCCAGTGGGTTTTCTAACAGTGTAGCTGCAGTGGCCCCATGTTGATGGTGCCAAGAGGCTGTTAGGAGCAAAGATGGAGATGGAGATTTGACACACCTTGAGTTAACTGCAGCAAAGTCCCTGTGCTTTTCATATGGGAAAGACAAACCTGGGCCATTGATTGGCACCATGGAGCTGACAGGCATTACTCTGCTTTTTGAAGAATTTGTGCTTCTTAACACACACCAGGGTGGCCAGTAGGTTGTTTTAAATCTGGAAGTGTGACTTGCACCACCAGGCTGCTGAAGGGGATGTTTATGGGGGGATGTCTATCATTGCACTATACTGTCCTAATTCTTTAATCACTTAAAAGGGACAAATAAAGAGAAAGACAAGTACTGCATTGTCAGATAAAGTTTTCTTTCATGCTGTTCAGAAACTTGCACTCCTGTATGTGATTACGAGATAAAAAAATGTATATGTAAAAAACCCCAACATCTCTCCCAAAAAAACAGTATTCAGGGAAAAATGTTTGGATGTTTTGTCTAACTCTCCTGAACAGTAATATCTACCATAGCAAATAATCATTGAACTAAAGGAAGGGAGGGGATTCTATGATCTGAAAATTGACTTTTATTGGGACCAAGGCTGTGGGTTAAACTAACATCTGTTTAGGGAATTTGGATCACCTGGAGATTTTTCAAGTTCTGAAAAACTGTTTATAAAATAAAAATGTTGACAAGTCTTTTACAGTTCACTGAGCAGAATTTGTGTCTGTTGGGATTATATTGTCAGAGATGAGCTTTCTTGTGCTAAGTTACTTAAAATGCTCAGAACTGGTTTGCTTTAAGATGTTGAAAAGGGCTATTTTCCATTTTGCAAGAAGGAAGTGGGGGGAAAACCAACTTTGTCTTTAGAAGTAGCTTCCAAACTCTTCAGTGGTTATTCAGGATATTTCCTTTTTTCTCTGAAGTCCATAACTATATCTGTGAAAATGAAGAGTTTTGAAAGCACATGTGTAATGCTCATGTGTATATGAAATAGTTATCTATATTTCTGCATTTCTGTTGTACGCAAATGTACGCTGCAATCTGGATTTTACGAGGTCAGTGTTACTTGATGGCTGACAGCAAAATACAGACCAGCTTTCAAAAGGAAAGAGACCTATTGTACAGACTATTCTCAGCACAGCAAGGAATGTAAATAAATCGCTAGATGGAACGGGTGTGAACTGCTCTCATGGCTTCAATGCAATTAGTTTAGCAGCTTAAATTATTCACAGGGTTAATAAGTTTGCAGAAGATAGCCCTAATGTGGTTATTGTGGAAAAACTTGTTTTTAACGCAGCAACATAAATATTTGCTTCCAATTGCCTCTGCTTTCAGTGAGGTTAACAAATGTTGCACTTCTGTGTAGAAGTTATCATAGTGACCTGATATTGTTAGTACAGTGTCTTTCTGGACTGGCTCTGCTGTGTAGCCAGGATTCATTCTGCTGCTTCCAACCTAAGTCCAAACACTCTCTAGTTCAGTATGAAATTTCAGTTATTACTTCTGGGATCTGAAGGTTTAGCAATATTGCAGATTTCCATCTTTCCTAACATTTTGGCCTGTGCACTGAGCATGCAGTCTCTACATTTTGACAATATATTTTGCATTTCATTTTCCAAGCAATATTTTATTAGATTAACTCAGATAGGAGGAATAGCTTCACATTTATCAGGAGAGTGACTTGTATGTTCAGTCAAACACTGTGATATTGAGTAGTTTAAATCTCCAGTGTATGAACTGTAAATTAACATTAAAGGTCTCTCTTAACATCCATTGCTCTGTTTAAACAGTCATGCAGAATTACTAGTTGCTAGTAATTTCTCCTTGAGTACAAATATATCATCTGTTCTAATGTTGTTTTAACTCTCTTGATCTGCATGTCATGAAAGAATATCTTAAAATTAGGAAATGGCAAGGCTGAATAGTGTAATGGATAATTGAGACTTTTATTACTATTTAGCAGAAGCTTCAGGTTTGCTTGCAGCTCAAATTACCAATTTTCCTGAAATCCAGTGATACTTTAGTTGCTGAGCATGGTCCCAGAGGATAAATACCCATCCTGCTGGGACCACTGATTCAGCCTCTTGATAGTCTTAGCATAAAAATCACACCTGTGAAAGATTTGAAGTATGCACTCTTCTGTTGCAAGGAATGACTTTCCTTACCAAGTAGTACTTTAAAGCATCCAGGCAGAACAGTACTCACTACAGACTTTTTTTTTGATAAACAGAGAATTTCAGACTCCAGAGCTCCCCATTTATCACATTGCACAAGTGTGAGACATTTGGACACAGGCACAATAAATAAATTGGTAAAAACCCCGTAGAGTATGCTGCAGGATGCATTTCAGAGTAGAATCTAAGAGCAGAACTGTTGGTGAAGAGTTTGTCATTTCCAGTTCACGTAGCAGTTGTGAAAAACAGCTTTGCATCTTCATAATGCTGTAGCACGGTATTGATTTGTACTATAATCTAAGGAGTGGGATCTGTGCTTCCCAAGAAATTTAGGAAGCCTGGTAACATGCACTCAATACTTCTGAAGACTGAAATCAGTAACTTTGGCTACTGAAATCAGGACTGTGTTAGCACCCATCCATGGTAACACCTTCTCACTGCGTTACCACATATTCACCTCACTGCAGTGTCTCTCTGCCTGGCTATCCTGCTTCCTGTCATCTCCTGCTGCATGTTGTAGGGTGGACAGCACTAGGCCATAAAACTTCACCTCCTCATCCATTCTCCATCCTTTCTTGCAAACATGCTGTGCATCTTTTCCCACCTCATGTGGCTAAACAAGGCAAAGCAGGGAGTTGGAAATTGATTAGTCCTCAAAACTTGTTATCATGCCTGAATATTATTTGTTTTAAACCATATGGGGATTAAGATCCTTTGAAGTTCCTTGATTAATGTTTAGGGGAAAATAAAATGCCAGTTTAAGCTTATGATCTTTTGTAATGGCATGTAGAACTCCAGTGTTTAAATTTATGCTTGAAACAGCTGTTCTAGAGTCACATTTAACCAGAAATTAATTAGCCTGTAAAAGAATGACTAATACTTGATTATATTTAAGTTTGTATTTCAGCTTCCATCTGTGGTGAAATCAAGATCTATTCAGCTTTATGATCATTCATGGAAACGGCTTGATTTTTATTCTTAGAGATTATAAATTTCTTGCTTGCTCATTGTCTTTGTATAGTAGAAATGACCTTATTTAAAAACTACTCATGATTTAACTTTCTTAGGAACCTTACGATGCACAGTTAGTGGAAACTTCTGCGGTGAGGAAAGGCATGTGCTCTGACAACAAAAGCCTGGCTCTATCCCCGTGTTTGCACTACTTAACTGATAGCGTGAAAGCTGATCCGTGCTAATGCTTGATAATAGTATATGGCAGCTAGCTGTGTGTATGGTTGACCAGTTGTTTATCCAGTCACTGTGCTCATGCGGGCAATTACTACTTTCATACCTAAGAGCACTCTTTCTTTAATCTAACCACCACTGTCCTCATCACTAGTGTGATAGTGTGATCGCTAGAGTGCCCAGCACAAATAGAGATGGACAAGTTTACCCTTGGAGCAGCTAGTCTTAAGATACAGCTGTTCTGCAGAAATATTTGATTAAAAATAACTCACTTTCCTTGAACAATACAAAATGAAACAGTTGATTTCTTAAAGCATACACTCAGAATGATCTCGCAAAACAACAAAATTTTTCCTAGCATGTAAGCTTTGTGTGCTGTGAAGCTGTAATGCCTAATGTCTTGTGGAATAACTGCAGTTTAAATAGTGGTCATGCCTCTTCAGTGCTGCAATAAAATGGGGTCTGTTGCTGATTTCATAGACTTGCTGTCGATGTTCAGTTTGTGGCAGCCTGGTCTGACCCTATAAAGAGTAGGCTATAAGATGCATTTAGAAAGCAAATGTTGGGCTTGTTGTCAGGAAAAATCTATACGGTGAGCATGAAAGAGCTTGATCTATCAAGACTGTGGTGCTGCAATGTGTGTTTTAAGTACTAGATCACATGCTTATTGGACAAAATCTTCTGCTTCATTTTTATAAACATAATAGCTACTGGAGCAGTAGCTAGCTAGCTGTGGATGTGTTCAGGATCAGCTGTATGCAAAGTGCTGTCATCATCTGAGCAGGTCTATTAGGACAGTATTTCTCGCTGTTCTAGCTGACTAAAGACTACAAGCAACATCTGAAGGCCTGTGAGGTGCATGGTACAGTCAGGCACTATCTGAGACAACATGTGACTGATAGATTCAGTGAACTGGCAGTGCCCTACACCTTTACTGAAAACTACTGCAGTCAGAAAACCTGCATACTATTGTTAGGTATATGGAAGATGCTAGTAAGCTCTTTCCTGGGGGGAACAGGCATTTACTTGGTAAAATCTAAGTTTTCTTTGATTTCTGTGCTTAGTACATTTTCTAACCTCTTGTTCACGTAATGGTATCTTTTATTTCTTGGTTTTAGTCTTATTTCTTGTGATTAACATTACACTGTTCATGTCAATGAATTCACGTGGGGTTGACCTGTGGTGTGTTCAAGCTGGAGTTTGTACCCTCCTAATCCTAGGTCTCCTTCATGAATATCTTCCTTGCCTGTAGTCTGGGTGGAGCCTGTTCTGTCCTGCGCTGGCACTGGTATGTGAGCAGACGACTCATAGTTTTCAGTCAGTTCATCGTTATTTATGATATAATCTGTGTCATCATCCTTCAGTTGATCCTGTATTCAAACAAAGAGAAAGATTGGTGGAAGAGAGACTACTGAGGAGGATTTTTGTTAAAGCTTAGATGAAGAACATGTCTGCAATTCCACTTTCATTTTATTTCATTATTTGCTTATTTTTTCAGGTGTTAATTTACCATCTTGATGTCAGTTAAAGCAAATAGTTACTGTGTTCTGCTCTTCAGTAGAGTTGAGAAACATAACCTACCCTTCTGATCTTTAAGATAATTTCAGTGCTTAACTATCACTGATGGGTAGCCAATACTTTCAGCATCTGGTTGAATTTTTTAGAACATGGTATTCATATTTGAAGATCACAGTATTAATGGCCATTCTTGAAGACGTAGCACTGCATGTGCTGAGACCTCTTCTCCGCAACCCCAACAAAATTGTATAATTCTTAGCCTTAAAAGTAATAAGCTATGGAAAAAGGACTTTTAGTCAAGTGTTGGTTTGCACCTTAAATACAATTAACCAAGCTAGGTACTTACGCCATATGCACGGGGGCTGGTCAGGAGCCTGGCAACAGGATTACACCATTCAGGTAATGTTGTTGTGAGAGGTGGACCGGCATGGGTTAAGATAGGTTTTAGGTATCTGTGAGGTTTGTTAAAGAATAGTTCCCATACAGATATTGATACTAACATGCTTTTCTATTATGGAAAGAAACTTCAGTTAGATGATTTCCTTATGCTTTAAAATGAATGGAAACGTAGAAAATACCATCTCTTTACCCACCCATTACTGCATAGATTCACCTGTCATCAGTCTTCTCTAATGTTTTTCATTAACAACAAAAAAAACCCAAGCCCCAAAAAACAAAACCCAAAATGATGCTCAAAATCTGTCTTGAAGGGTGCTAGAGAAGGGGATGTGTCATATGATACATAAATGGAGTAGGATCTGGAAGAGAATAAATGTGTACTAGAGTATCCTCTTTAGTATTCTCATTTATTGTTTGCTGTAAGCGGGATCTCCTATGCAATTTGAACAGGAAACAATTCAAGATGCAACTGTATCAGCTACCTCATGTAAGAACAGTCGTGAATGCTTTCTTAAACACATACACTCAAGCCTTTTGTAAAATGAGTGCATTTCTTCAATAGGCAAAGTGTATTTCATCAAATAATACTAAGTTTCTTTATCACTGGGAGTGTACATTAGTTCTTCTCTGTAATATTTTTTTCAGCATTCAATGCATTTGTTCTACACCTCATACACCAATGCTCCTTTATATAAAATTATGTAAATAAGTTAGGAGCAGGTTTTATGGTATTGTCTCGCGCCTGTCTTTCCAATCTTTTCATCCAAAAGTGCTTTACTGAGATAAAAGAAGAACCTGCTCATCTCAAGCAATTATTATCCTTGTATCTGTCAATAACAGCTCTCCCATGAGTCCTTCAAGTTGACTTATCTGCTCTGCTACTTTTACTCGCAAAGTAATTTTCAGTGTTCTTTGGGAAGCAGGTCTGTCAGCTGTTTTTGCTGCTAGGGAACCCTTTGCTTTATTGATTGTTGTCCCAGTCTCTCCCCCCTGCTCCTTTCTCTTGCATTCTTGCTTCTGCTCCCTCACTTTTTCTGCCTCCTTAAAGAAGAAAGGAACAAATGTAAAACTGAACAGTGATTTGAGCTCTACAGCAATATTGTAGAAATACTAAGTAACTGACTCTTAAATTAACCATTCCAGTACCTCTTTTTCTTTCATTATTGGTTGTTTATGTAAACACTGATTTACAGGCAAAGTACAAATTTTGTATGCTTGAAGAAACTTATGTAAAACATTCTTATGATCTGTTACAGATTGAAAGGCTTAAATAACCTGCTCTGCTGTCCTCTATTCTACAGCCACGAAAGTTGTTCTATAGTATCTGAGTTTTGTGTGTGCATGTTGGTGTGTTTTTTTAAAAAAAATTAAAATGCATCTGTCAGATTGTTCCTTCACCCAATGTCATATCCTGAGTTAGTGTGAAAAACTGAGTCTACTTACAAAAAAAGATTATAAGAATTTATATTAAAATCTTATCAGAACCATGAACAAGGCGGGAATCTAATGAGATCAAATTGTGCAGGGAAAGTTTTGATCCTCTTGCTTCTGTAAGAGTAAAATAAACCCAAACAATCCTTTTCTGATCAACTCCCAATCTTATTTGAAACCTCAAAAGCATCAAGCAGTTAAGAGCTATTATTAAAAAGCTGTGTATAAAAGCCCTCAATTAGAGTTGTGTTGTTTTTCAGCACTTCAGAAAAACCTAATTAAAAGGCCTGAAATGGAAGTCAGGCTGATTCTAGGTTTTTAATCTTTGGAAATATTGGCTTTGTTATTACAAACAACTTGAATTGTTTGAACTGAGTTGTCAAATCTCACATGAAAAATACTGGCTTGCAATGTAAGTTGTATTTGATTATACTGAATTCGGTCTACTCTGTTCTTTTATTCCTTTCCAGAACAAGGAACCGTAGATGAATATTACTCTAGTTTCCTCCTTAATCTGATGATCTGAGCTAGACCTTATTTCTAAGCAGCCTTTGAACTTTATAATGATCTCTTATGCTTCTGAGTAAAAATGGGTACTGTTTTCCTCCCATGCTTGCGTATGAAGCCAGCACCATGTCAGATAGGAATAGGGGGTGCAGGCTCAAACACGCAATCTACTTGGCCACCACAGTCTTCAGTCTTTTGTGCCACCACTACTTTTAAGATAACCTTTTTGTCTGGTGTGTTTAACTGGTTGGTATGTGTGTACACATGTCTTTGAGTGGCTCCATTTTGGGCTGCAATGGGTCTTCTAGGTCCGTTTCCTTTTGTGTTTGCTCTAACATGTTCATTGTCCATGCTTCTGCTTTGAAGACTCTTGAGGTACAGTTTAAAGACAACTTTCTTGTGGTTGTTGTGATGCTTCCGATTCTCTAATACATGACTTCTCTTTGTTTCTTACTGAACTAGTTTATTATTCAGCCCTCTAAAGGAACTTAAATTGCACTGGCCTATTTTTCATTGTTTTAATAACTTATGCCATAAATGTTTCCTCTTTATTGTTGACACAGTTGCTTCATAGTATTGCAGACATAATCACGTTGTTCAGTGCAGCATGAAAGAGGAATTCTAATCCATGTGCAGTGCTGGCATTTCAAAAGTATATCAGACATGGGTGTATAGCATTTTAAGGCTGGCAAGAAGTCTCATCACACTCCAGCTGCTCTGGTTGCATCTCCAGGGAGAAATAATTTAAATAGCGTAATACAAAAAGGTAGATTTTGCACTAAGGCTGCTTTAAAAATTGGAATAAACTAAGTGTAAACCTCTTAGCATAACTCAGAAATTATTGCTGAACCAAATTCATGCCTGCCTAATTCAGGGATAAGGAAAATATAGCAGGAAAACATTGTATCAATCAGTGCACTTCTAGATTGGCACTTCAGTCCTCCGTGGGCAGAACAGTCCAACTGCATGTCTCAGATTCTACGCCATGCAATATACTGTGTTAAAGAATGTTATTAATATTGTAACGGTGGTAACTTTAAGAAACTGAATTCAGGATGCCTGTATATGCAAGTATATAGAATTTTAATCCGTATACAGTGCTGGCACATTAGCATACCTTACTTTCATAATCAAATACCAATTTTTTTCCAATGATTCCCTACATCTCCAGGCTTCTACTCGGTTCACATGCCCAGAAATGTTTACCCTGGGTCTCCTTATCGCTATTTTGAACATCTCTTTGTTTAGGCTGTTCTGGTCTTCCCTTGCCACTAGCCAGGCACAGTTCCTCTCCCTGACACCAGACTCAACATCTAAATCTGTAAATCTTCCTGGTTCAGCTTCTCTCTTCTGAGTTTGACTTATATGATGTCCTCTTCCGTACTGCCCAGAAATAAGCAAAGAAGGCAATGTCATTGTGGCAAGATTTGTCAAGTGCCTGAACAGTGCAGTCTAAAGTTGAACCACAGACAGGTTTGGTGGGGCTGAGGCTGAGCCACTCAAATAAGGGTTGTGGGAGGGTACAGCATGCTCAATAGCAACAGGACCAGAATTTAGCTCTTGAGACTGAAGAGTTTGTGGGTTGGTTTGGTGGTGTTTTTTTTTTTTTTTTTTTTTTTTTTTTTTTTTTTTTTTTTTTTTTTTTTTTTGTTTTGTTTTGTTTTGTTTTGTTTTTTGAAAGTGTGTGAATACCAACGTTGCGACATTTCACAATGTGATCTAGTTTAGCCTGGAGTTTCAAACAAATGGTAAAAGGCATCTCCAGGGTGGAATATGAGGTCTTTGCTCTGAGTACAGTGCATTTAAAAATATCACGAAGACTTATCAGGAACAAAACAATGGAACTGTGTGAATTCTACACCCCCACCCCTGCCAACATTATACTCGAGACAAATATCTATTATGGAAATTTTCCTCCTGTATAGTTAATGTTTAATACTGCCACTAGCCATATTGCCATATTGCAGAACATTTAGGATTTTCATTATGCAGAAAAGTTGTGTTTGTATCATATCAGGGTGAAAAAACAGAATCTCAAAATTCCTATTCTTTTAGCCAGTAGCCATCAAATGGCCTCAGTTTGTTAAAATGACATGTTCTGTCCAAATCTTGAGAATGTTAATAATAATCACGATTTTTTTTCATAAAGTAGTATTAGCATGTTCAAATAGAGAAAAAAAAATTTTGTTGGACATGCTGTAGCTGTTTTGACTCCAACTTGAGTCTCATTCTTCTTTTGTTGGAGGAACAGAGTCCTAGTCCAACTGTGGCTTTGCTGAAAAGCATAATAGTAAAAGAAATATAGTTTGGAAGGGTGGGGCACAGGACAAAACAACCACAAATAAACCACAGAAACAAAAAAATCCTAAAATCACCCATCCTCACACCCCTGAAACACAAGATGGGACCACAGTTAGATATACCTTTGGCAACTCTGTTTCAGGTCTGTGAAGCCCAGATGGTGTTTTGTCTTTTGCCTCATGTAACACGGATTCTGTAACTCAAGGTAGTCCCATCCTCCCCAAAGGCAAATACGCTCATGGTATAATATTTACTATTAAAAAGACCCAAAGTACAGGAACTCTTATGTCACTAGTCAAAATTACATATAGCAATTTTTCCAGACTGCTATATTAAACTCTGCTATAAATACAGATTTGTTGAAAGCATGTTGTTTAATATTCTAATGCTAGGTGCTGTATTTCTGCTGTAGACACATCTTTAGATGTACATGTCACCACTCCCAGAATCCATCTTTTGTGTAGTGTTTTTAAGGTTTCTTGAAGTTTGCAGCCTTTTAATTTAAAGTGTCCCTTTAATGAATATTTTTATTTGAGTCTGAGTTTAAATTAGTTATGTCATAAATATAATATTACTCTGTTGTACTAATGAAGAAACATACATAAGAAAGGTATCAAAGAAAAGATGACACTTCTGTTCATTCAGTCTATTTTCTGTACTAAGTACAAATGATGTTTTGTTCCTTGGTAGAGTTTACTTATTAAAAAAAGTGATTTTGATGTTAGCTATGTGATAGCCTGAAGAGCAAACATTTTTGGTAGTGTTTGAGTAGGAGCAGGCAAACCATGAAACTCTGATTATCTGGCTAAGATCT